AGGGTTTTAGGGGTTTAGCGTTTAGGGTTTAGGGTTTAGGGTTTAGGGTTTAGGGGTCAGGGGTTTCAGGGTTTTGAAGGGTTGAAGGCCCCCATGAACTGCTTAAGGCCGTGCAACCGAAAAACCCTTTCGGGAGCAGTGCCAAACCCATGCCAGCACAAGCGCTGGACAAAGACCGCGAGGGTCATCTTCTGCAGTGAACGGGACCGCAGTGCAAACCCCAGAAATAATGGTATTCTGTAGTATTCTTCATGCAAGGACCTCGAAACCACAAACCCTTGTGCGCACCTACAAGGGTGTGAAAAAAGGCACCAAAACCTTCATAACCCTGTGTAGCACCCTGATAACACAAGTTCACATTTTGGGACGTCCTGTGTAAAGTACTGCGGCACGAAACGGCCGGTGGCCATCATGTGCGCTGGCAGCGGCCTCAGCCAAGGTGCTTTTAAGAGCTCCGTGTTTGATGTTTCGTTTTCAAGCATGGGGCTACGGCGTTGCTGGTTAAGGGTTACTATTGGTTTGCTTTGACTTTTTCCTGGTCACTGAGTACCAAATTAAAACTTGAACTCGCTGGCCTGTATTCACAAAGCTAGGGATATTAAGAAGCATTGCAAACGCCGGTAGCTTTTGCTGAACCCACGAACCCCCAAACTATATCCCTTAAACCCTACAGCAAACCCCAAACCTAAACCTTAAACCTAAACCTTAAGTTCAAAGCCTAAACCCACCCAAACCCCACGTTCTGCCACGGGGCCCGAGGATGCCCATGATCCGCGCCAAGAGGCTCTGGACCGAATCGTTCTGGAAGAGAACGAAACCTCCGGTGCTTCTTGTTGGAGTAGCTCTGATTTAGGGTTTAGGGTTCTATAAGACCTTAAGGGTCTGGAGTGTACCTACATTCTAGGGTCCTACGAGGCTGTAGGGTTCAGGGATAAGGCTTTACGGTCCTATAGACCTTAAAGGTCTGGAGTTTATGGTCCTACAAGGCTGTAGGGTTCAGGGATAAGGCTTTAGGGTTCTATAAGGCCTGAGGATTTAGGGTCTGGGGTCCCATATGGTTTAGGGTTTAGGGTTTAGGGTTTAGGGTTTAGGGTTTAGGGTTTAGGGTTTAGGGTTTAGGATCCTATAAGGCTTGAGGGTTCTGGGTTTAGGGTCCTATAAGGCTTTGGGGTTTGGGGGTCAGGGTTGCCACTGTGAGGGTCTTGCTACATTGGCTACTAGAAAGGCTCATATGAGCTTATCACAGAGGTGCCGCTATTTCGCCAAAATTATCTGCTCTGCGATGTAACGAACCCTACATCAGACTAAAAGCCCACACATGAAAACATCCCAAACTCCCGAATCCTCGATCCTAAACCCTAGTAACACAAACAAGTGGAACCCGCCAGCTATCTTGCTCGGTGCGGAAAACAAGCGTATATATAGAAATAACTATGGCTACATATCTAAAACGGAGGAGGCCTGCCCAGAGCTCTGCAACGATACATCCCAAGGACCTGGCCGCGGATTTGTCAGACAGAATTAGGGCTTAGGGGGTTTGGGGTTTAGGGTTTAGGGTTTTGGAGGCGCCTGTGCAACCCTATAAGCTCTTTATAGCCCTCTGCAGAACTGCAAGCCCTATAAGCCCTGCAGAACACCATCCGACACAGACAGGAGCCACTTGGGGAGTTAGGTTTTAGGGTTTAGGGCTTGGGGTTTAGGGTTTAGGGCTTAGGGTTTAGGGTTTAGGGTTTAGGGTTTAGGGTCTAGGGTTTAGCGTTTAGGGTTTAGGGCCTAGGGTTTAGGGATTAGGGTTTAGGGTTTAGGGCTCGGCCCTGAAGTCTCGTTGCCATGCTTTCCCAGGGACTCCGAAGCCTTCTGTTAGCGCCCAAACCCCAAACCCTGAAC